TCATGTACAGGTTCTTGTGTGGACAGATGTTTTCCATACTCAGAGTGAAACCACCAGGTCATATGGTAACAGTATGTTTAACTTCTTGAGCAACTGCTGAACTGTTTTTCAAAGTAATGCCACCATTTTACATTCTTCCAATAATATGTTAAGGATTCTAGTTTCTCCACATTCTCATTGAGGCTTGTTTTTGTCTGACTTTTTGGTTATAGCCATCCCAGAAATTGCCTACTTCAAGGTCAGGAAGATTTACACCTATGTTTTTTTCTGAGAGTTTTATAGCTTCAACTCTTACATTTAGGTCTTTGATCCATTTTGATTTAATATTTGAATGCGTTGTGAGGGGTCCAGCTTCATTCTTTTACATGCAGATATCCCACACTGTTTGATGAAAAGACTCTTTTTCCTCATTGGCGGTCTTGGCACCCTTATGGAAAATCAGTTTTCTATTAATATATGGGTTTGTTTCTGGACTCTCAGTTGTATTGCACTGACAAAAAGGATACATCTTAGCTAACGAGAATGTAAATCAAAATTAGGTCCCTGCTTTTGTATTTGAGAAAAGTTCATGATACAACTTTTTATTTTCAGGTTCTCCTCAAGCATTTTCTTCTTATATTCCAAGAAAACTAGATCACATCAATGCACAGTGACTACAGATAAATACACAAACTGTCAACTCTAAACTTTTTCAATTTCCTGTTGCCTCTAAGTAGTGCCTCTGAAGTAAGGGCATTAGTAGAAAGTCTATAGAGTAATCTTTACCAACCATTTCTTGGGTAAAAGCTTCTACCTTGCTCTCCTTTCCCACACCCCAACTGCGTTTCACAAATGAGAAAGTTCATTAAGGTGCAATTTTGTTATTGGGTTTTGTTTTGTTTTAAGATTTTATTTATTTGAGAGAGCACGAGTCAGCAGGGAGGGACAAGGAGACTCTCCGCTAAGCAGGGAGCCCGACGCGGGCTCGATCCCAGGACCCCGGAATCATGACCTGAGCCAAAGGCAGACCCTTAACCGACTGAGCCACCCAGGCGCCCCTATTTGTTACTGTTTTTTTTTTTTTTCTTTAATTCAATTAGCCAACATATAGTACATCATTAGTTTTTGATATAATGTTCAGTGATTCATTAGTTGTGTATAACACCCAGTGCTCATCACATCATGTGCCCTCCTTAATGCCCATCACCCAGTTACCCCATCCCCCCACCCACCTCCCCATCCACAACCTTTTGTTTCCCGGAGTCCAGAGTCTCTCTGTTACTGTTTTTAATAACCTTCTATCATTACAGAAGCAGTAAGATATATTATAGAAAGTTAGAAAATACGGAAAATTAAAACTTAGCTTCACATTCTTACCACTCAGATCAGTATAATTCCTTTCAGATCATTTTCTTTTCTTTTTTTTTTTTTTTAAAGATTTTATTTGTTTATTTGAGAGAGAGAGAATGAGAGACAGAGAGCATGAGAGGGAGGAGGGTCAGAGGGAGAAGCAGACTCCCTGCCGAGCAGGGAGCCCGATGCGGGACTCGATCCCGGGACTCCAGGATCATGACCTGAGCCGAAGGCAGTCGCTTAACCAACTGAGCCACCCAGGCGCCCTCAGATCATTTTCTATGTAAATAATATATGTATGTGTGTTGTTTTAACCAAAAATGAGATTTTATGGTCCATGCCAAATTGAACTTACCTCTGCAGTTTGTGATCTCCATCTGTCAACTTCAGTGCATTTTTATTCCATCTAATACCGAAGCTATGTTCAGATGTCCCCTCAACTCAATATTGGTTTCAGCAAAGCAGAGAACTGTTGTACCTGGCTGTTACGGCTCCTCATCTTCCTTTAATCCAGCTTATCTACCCCCAACCCTTTTGTTTGTTTTCAGTTTTAACAGTAGCTTATTAAAAAGATCAGTCCAGATGTCCTGCAGAACATCCCAACCTCGGGATTTATATGTTGGCTTTCTTCAAGTAGTAGTTAATATATTTCTCTTTTCCCCTTATTTCCTGTAAGCTAGGAATTATATCCACAAGTTTAATGAATTCGGGTGAAACGTTTTGGCTGGATTCCAGCACAGGTGTTGTACTGCATCAGAAGTTGAATAATAATCTGGTTGACTCCATCATTAGTGATGCTAAAATGGACCACTGGTGAGAGGCTGGCCTTCTCCATCATACAGATACTTATAGTGTTTCACTTTACTCTCTGGTTTTTCTTTCTTTCTTTTTTTTTTTTTTAGTATTTTTATTTATTCATTCGAGACACAGATCGAGAGAGAGAGCATGAGCAGGGGGAGAGGCAGAGGGAGAGGGAGAAGCAGACACCACGCTGAGCCAGGAGCCCAATGTGGGGCTTGATCCCAGGACCCTGGGATCATGACCTGAGATGAAGGCAGACGCTTAACCATCTGAGCCACCCAGGTGCCCCCATTGTCTGGTTTTTCTTCATCAAACACCCACCTAATAATTTTGCCACCATTTAAATGTAATTAAAATTGTAGATTTTAAGCAGAAAATACTGGATTGCTATTCCATTCTTCTGAGAACCCTAGAACTGAGTACTGGTTGATCTGATGGCTTCGGTGTGCCTAAAGCCCATCCCTTGTGGAAGAACTTCGGTCTCACAATTCTGATGTTTGATTTTTCCGTCATTCTATTAAATCTTTTCATTTCAGCCTGAATTCAAAAGTGATAACAGAAAATCTAGGTATGAAATATTGTCTTTCCCCTCTCGCTTCTTCTCCTGACGTCCTGTTCCCCATCACAACGACAAAGAGAATAATTAGGTGGAAGAAATAACTTGTGTCACACCTAATATAGTACCAACTATTTTACCATAAAAGAGAATTGGGCTTTTTAGAATCAGCAATTTTAAATGAACTTTGGTCTAAAATTAATATCTGTATGACCGCAACTATTCTTTCAATATATTTAACATCTTGGAAAAAATCAGGGTTGGGTTACAGTCATGTGCTCAATTTGAGCCACATTTGAGGCTCACTTGACATTTCTGCAGCTCACCTCCTGGGAAGCCCTGGATGAAAAGGAGTTCTTCCTGTCTGTGTTAGGCGCTAACCTGCTCACCTCTGATACCGGGGCAGTGAGTAAAATGGACTTCGTCTGCAGAACCCCTAGGATTTTGAGATTTCCCCTCTCCCCGAGCACTCCAGCCTGTGTCCATTCTCAGCATCCAGAACCAGCTCCCGTGCTGCCCCTCTTGGACCTGCCGCCTGTGTCCCAGCGGGGCCAAGACTGGGGGTTTTTGAGCCGAGGGCTTTCTCTCCTGGAATTCCCCATGGGGAATGAAGAAAGCCCAGGTTAAAATGACTTACAAGATCTTGTGCCAGACATAAACTTTGCTTTATGTTGAGGTAATTTTGGTAGTTTCACGGGGGTCAGGGAGAAATCTGGTTGGGTGAACTTTTATTAGGGCTCCAGCATTCTATTTCTGCTTAGTAACATTTTAAGAGTGTGCCCAGGTAGATGCTGCAAGCCTTCGGCAGGTCTGTGAGCCATACATGGGTACACAGGAATGTCTGTAGGTCCGAGCCTGGCCGTAATGAGCACACACGACTCGGGCATGCATCTCTGTGAGAGATTCGGCATCTGGCACGGAAGCACACACAGGGATTATGAGGTTCAGGACCTGGCAGAGAAGTCCCCACAGATCTCTAACTCTCTACCTTGAGAGTGGATTTTCTCCCATTTGACCTACAACAAAGTCACATTAACACAGTTCTCTTTTTTCATTTGTCAATAGGAAACCGAAAAGAGAAGAGCACCTGAGTGAAGAAGCCATCAAGGTGATCGCTAGCCTTCCAGACTTAACGTTCATGCATGCCAAGGTGTTGATGTTCCCGGCCACGTTAACACCTTCCACAAGGTCCCAAGAGAAAGCAGACTGATAACTGATGTGAATTGGACAATTTCAATTGCTTTCCCTTACCTCCAGCCCTTCCCTCCCTTCCATCAAAAGCATACCTGCTCTAATTAAAAAAAAAAAAGTTCAGCTGATTTGTTGGTAAGCCGCACTAGAAAGGTATACATAGTAATGTATATTTATTTACATACTGAAGTCCTAAATTTATATTAGAAAAAAATGTAAATAACCGGGGATGAACATTTTTGAAGATTTATTCTTTTTGTGTTGCTGGGGTGTATACATTTATGTCTTTGTGAAATACACTGGTGGTGTCCTTCTTACAAAACTTTTGAAATAAAAAAAAGAAAATTAAAAACTCAAATCTCCACTGTCTGTGAAATCCCCTTCAGTCTTTTTCAGATTGCATTGAATGTCCTATTAATTTTTCATATCATATGTTGGATTAATTTTTGCTATCATAAATAAGCTCCAAAGTCCCCATTTAATTTTTTTTTTTCAATTTTATGTGTAGTGGGTTTAAGATCTGGCTTTTAACATTTTTGCGCTCTTTTTTAATCTTTTCAATCTGGCATATTGCTGTTTGACCTTTTGCAAGGTACTTTATCGATTGCTCTTTTGTTACAGGGTGTGGATCATTGTCAGAACTTGATTGGAGGGGTTTAAAGAGATTGTGTCTGTTTTAAATCAGTTTGGCTTGGAGAAGGACCAAATTACATGAATGTCTTACAATGAAATTCACTTGTTAATGATTTTTTGTTTTATCATACCACTATTTTTTGAGGATTTTGCACAGTGTAAAATGACATAATCATAGATTGCTATGGTTTAAGCTGTATATACAGTAAAAACTATGGGTTTTAAATGTTTGGGGAAATTCCTATGGAAAAAAGAAAGACACGTAGAAGAACCTCTGACAAGGTTAATGTGCATGCCCAAGGTCTTTTGAGATTTCAGTGTGTAAATTTCCTTTTAGCTTACACAAAAATAAAATAATTTAAAAGAAATTTAGACTGGTGTTTTTGTACTTTGGTATCTGAGGGAAAAATAGGAGTTTGGATGGGAAGGTTTATTCCATTTTAATGTATTTCAGTCCAGAGGAAATCATTTGGTAGGTCGGGCTTCCACTTTTTTGAAAGCAGAAAGAATTGGGATCTGGCCCATAGGAACTGGATCAGTACTGAGGCGGAGCTATTTTTATGTAGAACATGAGATCATAAAAGAATTTCCCATGATTCACTATAATGTATCTTCATCAGAACTGGCAAGGTTAAATAAGCATTTCTAGGGAATTTTTTTCTTTGCCAGTAAATATATGCATGATACTAAGGTGAGCAAGAAATTTCTACGAGGTAATTTTTAAATATTGCTATCGGCTATTGCGTCAGCAGAGTCACAAGACATAGTTCATTAGAAACAGGCAGCCAGCCCGACAGTAGTCCCTGTCGGCCTCCTGCGCTGTGGGAACCCCCTGCCCCTCCCGCACGGACATCCCTGTGCTGCCAGCTTATCACACAGGCCGTGGGAACCGCTGGTGAACGTACTAGAAGTATGGCCTGGAGTGACCGTGCCTGTCCGACCTTTTTGTTGTCATCGTGGTTTCAGAGAAGGCTCTCTTTCAGAATAGTCCCAAGTCCCCAGTGTCCCGTGACCCTTCCGAATGGAAGGATAAAAGTATTCCTCAGCAGAACTTCACACGTTTCGGTAATTGAGGCTGAAAGGGCTGCTTCTGCCATACGACCAGACTATGATGGCAGCCTTTACCAACGAAGTTCAGAGCCCATCTATTAGCTGCGTTACTGAGAGAAAGTTAATCAACTTCTCTGGGCCTTAATTTGAAAATGGGAATGATACTGCCTTCCTGTGGGGTTGATGTATTAAATAATAAATGTAAAACACTTGTCACGTGAGGAAAGAATCAATCAATGGTAGCAGGAACGTAGAGTCAGCAAAACCTGTGATGGCCCTCGGAGTCCCGGGGGATTCAAGAAGCAATCATGGGAGAAAGGGTCCTGTAAAATAAGTGATTGCATTATTTAGACATGGTCAAGTGGGTCTTCCTCATGAAAGTGACCCTGCTTTAATGACACACAGGATGGATATTTCATCTTAGAACCACGTTTAGATGAGCCAGATTTCCCTCTTGCTTGTCCTATTGGCCTTTGATGTTTTAATCACAACAGGCACCTCAGTACTGGATTATCACGGGTTAAAGTCAGTACTCGCCTTAAGGACAAGAAGTGCTCGCCCCAAACCAGGGCTCAGGTTGCACCCGAAAGCAGGAGCAGTGGCTGGTGAGGGAAGAGCTTCAAGCGTCTCTCTGGGTCTCAGCTAAGGGAGAGCCCGTTGGCTGCACACAGCAGCTGCCCATTTGTCCTGCTCAAAGTCAACCCGGTGGGCCCTGCAGAGTTGGGGAGAAGACACCAAAGCAGCAGAGACCCTAAAAGCCAGTCACACGCAGTGGAGACTGGTTTAGCAGTCAGCTCTGTGTCCTCGACACCTTAAAGCCAGCTCAACTCATCCCCTAGAGTCTCCTCTCACTTGATGGCCAAATCCAGACTGGGAAGTATAGGAGAAATGTCCCTAAATTGAGTCATGTGTCACTACTATTTTTGTGAGTCATTCTTTTATATAGAAACTTGTTCCTCCCTCTACATGATTATCATGTTCTTTATTTAGAACTTGCCACTTTTCGTTCCCTCATGTTTCTTGAATCAGTTAGGATTAGGTTTGGCTGTGAGTAACAAAAACCCAAAATACTGCATTCCATGTAATAAGATTCATACTTCCGTCACATCTGAACTTCTCTGAGATTGGAATGTGCCCCACAATCGGAGGGGCTCCATTTCACCTGCAGTGGGTTTTCTGTTAGTGCTGAAAATAGTGCTGCCTTACAGCCAATGACCAGAATTGATGAAACGTAGCAATGGTGGCTTAAGCCATAGAAGTTCGTTTCTCTTGCAGTCTAGGGCTGGTGAAGGGGCTTCATAAGATCATCAGTGACTGAAGCTCTTGACTTACCTCGTTCCACCAGGACCCACACATGGTGTCTACCTCATGGTCCAAGGAGGCTGCTGATGGTTCAGCCACCATGCCTATGTTCCAGCCATCTATGAAGGAAGAGCAAAGAAGAGCATTCTCCCTCTCATTAAGAACACTTTCCATAAGGTATACAAAATATTTCTAATTACTACCTTGCGGCCAGAACTTCGTTGCAGCGCCCTATCTGGCTACAAAAGAGGCAGGGAAGTACCTGTGTTGTGGGCAGCCATCTAACCGGCGTTCTCGTAGTAAGAAGGAGCGGACAGACACTGTAGGACCACTGCAAAGCTGGGCCTCACTTTCCACTTCACATTGCATGCACACAGTATTTCATTGAGCTCAAGTCATACCTAGAGAGATGAATTCCGGGATTGTTGTCTCAGGGCTGGATCTGTTGACTTCCTGGTGGTTTCTAATAAGAGGGGAAGGAATCTATGGAGGGCCGCACAGGTTTCCTGGGCCCTGGGAGGAACCTGTGCTAAGACAAATGGTGGATGGTGGTAGGGAGCAGCCGGGGGAGGTAGAAGGGACACCGGATTAGGCTGGGAGTTGTGTCTTCTAAATACAGTTCTCCACTAATCAGCTGGAAGATGTTGAATAAATCCCTTTTCTAAGGCTCCGGTACTTCAGAGTCTACAGAACTGAAAACTAAGGTAGGAAGAAACCTTAGAGAATCATAGAATTCTAGAGCCGGAGGATGAGCCAGTCGGGCGCCCGCAAACCACCCCCAGGAGCCCCGCAGCGCTGGCCCCGCAGTGATGAGGATGGCCACTACTAACTCCCTGGGCCTCTGTACTGGGGGACAGGGGTGCTGCAGATCACAAATCTGACAAAGCCAAGGACGATTCCCTTCTGCAAGCTGAGGCAGTGGGAAGCCTACACAGGAAACCGACTTGCACAGCATCGTGCATCTATAACCAGAGAGGCAGGACCTGACCGCAGTTTTCCCGACTCTCCTGTGTCTCCCCTCCGAAGGGGTGGCCAGGCCAGCCCGTGAACATTCGCGGGGACCTCGAGCGAGCTCCGAAGCTCGCTTGCTTGGATGGCCAGCACTGGCCGGTATGACTCCTACTGAGCGGACACCAGGGTCCCCACAGCCTCCTGCGGTTGTGTTCCTGATGGTAAGTCAGCCTGACCTCCAGAGCCTTCCGCGTTGGTTATCCATTGGGCCTGGGCTGTCGCGGAAAAGAGCATTTCCCATCACATCACGCAATATGTGTGAGTGCGGCACAGCATCTGAGACCACCCTCTCTGCCCCCGGGCTCCTGGGGACCGACCCGGGCTCGCGCCTCTGCCGGGAATGCGCCTCCTCACCAGCCGGCCAGCACCCCTCCCTCTGGGAGCCTTTCTGGACGCCCCCCACCCCGGGCCCCACCCCGGGCCCCACCTCACCCCACTCAGCTGCTCTACGGCCTCCCAGAGTGCTCAGCAAGCCCCTCTGATGATGTAACACTCGTACTAAACCTAGTATACATTGATTCCGAGCAGTCCTGAGTGCCAGACATGGGGGCTTCGCACACATTCTCTCCCCGAATCCTCCCAGGAACCTAAGAAGTCCCTGACTCCAGTGTACTGGTGAGGAAACCAAGACTTGGAACATGATGTCACGTCCCCAAGGTCACTCAGCCAGGAAGAGGAAGTCTAGAACCCAAGTCTGTCTGATCCCAAAGGCTGAATGCTTCCCCGCAGGGTATCAGCCTCTTGGCATGATGAGGGCCTTTAGGGCGCCCGTCACCTTGCTTTATAATGACCGATGTGCTCTTCTTTCTCCTCCAGGCTGTGAGGTCCTTGAGGGCAGGGTCAGTGTTTGGCCCAGATTTGTCCCCCTGGCCCCTGGCACAGTGCCTGACACGTAGGCGAACTCTCACCTGGTTTGCTTCCTAAACCAGTTTATGCATAAGCCTCTCAGTGAAATGGGTGGGGATCCTTCCAGAATCTGTGTTTTGCCTTTGCCTGCAAATATTGTAAACCCCACCTCAAGCCCCATCTGAGTTTTTTCCAAAACACACCCTATTCTATTGATCACTGACTCAATCCTTCAATCTCTGAAGCAACCCCCAAACACTACCCCAACCCCCTGGGGCTTCCATTTTGCCAAAAGCTATTTGTTTGGGTTTGGTTTTGCCTCCATCCCTGCCTTGGGCGAGCAGCAAGTAAGGGCTGGACATACGAGGATCCGGGCCACTCCTGGAGCACAACTCTGTGGCCTACACCACCAGCGGCCCCTGGCTGAGAAGTACACGGCTCTCTAGGAGACTCCCAAACCTAGACTCATCCTGACCACTTCCCGGAGGGTGCCCTGAGCAGATGGTTATCTGGGACATGGGAAATCAGTAAAGATGTCTCTCAGTCTCTGAGCAAGGCCTGACGTGACTCAGAGGGGCTCACATGACCACACCGTTGGGTGCTGGGTGCTCAGACAAAGCTGGATAGCCCTGAAAGCGGATGTCACACTGATAGTCATTACCCGCGAGGGACACATCGAGGATGCCTTCAGGCATCCTCCATGATGAAACCTGCCGGGAGGGCCACCCACTTTCCCACTTACCCCACCCCTTTTCTTCTGTCCTGTCATCCAGAGCAGGACTTCCGTTCCAGAGCTGGCGGCCATGCGGGCCTGGTGGGCAGCGCGGGCCTTGCTTCTGACGATGTGGTTCTGGGCCCAGGCTCCCATCATGGCCCCAGGACCCCAAATCCAGCAGGATTGCCGCCAGAGCAAGCTACCCCAGGGGCCCGCCTTCCATTAGAAACTCGAGCCTCCACGGAAAGCAGACGTTTCACTGAAATCAGTACTTTTACTCTTCGGGAGGAGAGAAGTGGACGAGGACCGTCCAACTGCCCCCTTCAGGCCCTGTTCATGGGAAGCATCTGTTTGATGGGTTACAATTTGTTTCACTTTATTTTTGCTGAGTTGCCTTGGGAGCCTGAACTTTGATCTGGGCGGGAGTCACTAATTGATCGGCTCCAGAGAATGACCCAGACCAGCGTTCTGCCTCTTGTCAGAGGAAACTGCTCTCCCTGGGTCCGAGAAGAGGCCAGAACGCCCTCTGCAGCCATCTCTGACCAGTGGCGGGCCCCCCTGCGCTCTGATCCCGTCCCTGGGCGCCCGGCCCCGCAGCGCGGCCCCAGCTCCGACCCAGAGAACAGGGAGGCCTTGTTTGCCTGCAGCTACTATCTTGTAACTCCCTCTTAATTTACAATCTGTTTGCTGTTTCAGATGTTTGGAAAGAAAACTCCTTAGTCAGCAGCTCTGGAGAGCTTCATTTTCAGTGAAATCTGGACTCTTCTTTCCCACCCCAGATTTTTTTTTTTTTTTATTCTGGTTTTGTGGCTGGAACCTAACATCTGTGAGGCAGGCAGGACCTCATGGGCCTGCGTCACCAAACACCTATTGAAAGGACGCATCCAAGGGTAGCAAATCAGGGCAGAGCCCACCGGTGACAACTGGTATTTATCTAATATTGGCCTCAGCCCACCAGCTGGCCCCAGGAGAGGAGCAAGGATGAAACACAGTGCTCGGTCCCCGCTCCGGTGCTCCTGGGGACCCGGCAGGAATGCCTTGCCCTCGTGACAGACAAGAAAGCCCAGGGTGCTTGAAACATGGCTGTTTTCCCAGCGGAAGGGGAGAGGCCGCCACCACGGGTTCATATCTGCAGTGGCCGACGTCCGCGGAGAGGGTCCCCCCAGACACTTCCATAGAAGGTGACACTTGTCCGTCTGCCCGATGACCTTGCCTTGTGGCGGCTCCCGCAGGGCTTGGAAGGGGCACGAGCTGTACCATTCCAGCTCATCGGTGCAGCTCGGAGCTTGCGAGTTGCAGCCCCGGGGCCCTGGGGGCTGGCGCCCTTCTTCGCTAGCTGTCTCCACGCGGTCACCAGCCTCACGGCACGGGACTCCTCGGGCTTCCAGGGCCACCAAAGAGGCGGCCCGCACATTCCTCCCGGGAGACAAGCAGCAAGCAGGCAACCAGAGTTTGAGAGTCTGAATCCCGCTCTGGCACTTCCTAATTGTGAGACCATGAACCCGTGTGTAAACTGCGGATGGGAACTCGAGTAAAAAATACCAACCCAGGGCACCTGGGTGGCTCAGTCGGTTAAGCGTCTGCCTTCGGCTCAGGTCATGATCCCAGGGTCCTGGGATCGAGCCCCGCATCAGGCTCCCTGCTCTGAGGGAAGCCTGCTTCTCCCTCTCCCACTCCCCCTGCTTGTGTTCCCTCTCTCGCTGTGTCTCTCTGTTGAAAAACAAAACAAACAAACAAACAAAAATACCAACCCAGGCTTCTTAGGAGAATTAAAGACATTAATTCTGTTAATGTTAATGTTAAACACTTAGCATGACCCTTGGAAATACTAAGTGCTCAATAAATGTTAGGTATCTTCAGTATTATTATTGAGGATGCCAAGTTCTCTTGGGCGCCTGCTGGGTGCCCTGCCTGACTTGGGACCCAGGCTGCTAGGTAGGATGCAGCCCCTGGTTCAAAGAAATCATGAGGGACCAGCAGGCCATTCTACGTCCCGGTGATTCTGAGCAACCTCCTCTCCACCTGAACAGGGAGGCTCCAGAAATAACTGGGCTCCATGAGCAGGCCTCCGGGAGATGCCAGAGGAGCTCCAGGGGAGGGCAGAGGGCAGCAGGGCCTAGAATCATCCCGAGAGAACTCAAGGGCGTTTCCATCAAAAGTGCCAAGTGGAAGTCTGCCCATGTTTTCCCTTGTCCTGTGGTGCGCTTCCAGGGCAGGTGGGAGGTAAACGTGAAGGAGGCGGGGCGTTCAGTCCCACAGAGGCGATCCACGCACTCCTTCATCTTCGATTAAGCAAGTGAACGCCGGGTGCTGGTGCCCAGTCCCTTCCCGGACACACGGGAAGTGCACAGGTAGGGGTCTGTCAAGCATGGAGGGCCCAGTCAACTCCAGGAAGGTGAGCCAGGGCCCATGGGACATTGCATTCTCCCTCCTTGAGCCATCCTAAACCTTCGATAGCTTAGATTTTATTTACTTACTTAGCTGAACAATTTCAGAATAAATTGTGGGTATCATCCCACGTCCCTCTCCCCCACACCGTCATATCAAAATACAGAGATATTCTCATCTAACTGCAATACTATTACCACACCTACAAAAACGAACAATAATATCTGAACACCCTTTGAAAACCAGTCTATTTCAATTCCCCAAATCATCCCTACAATGTCTGTCATAGCTTGCCTGTTCAAACCAGGGTCTGCTCAAGGAGGATGCATCCCATTTGACTATATGTTCCTTTTAATCTAGAACAGTTCTCCCATCCTCTTATTTTTTTTACTTTTTTTTTTTTTTTTAAGAGACCAGGCCCGTTGTGTTGCAGAATGTCCCACATTCTGGATGCACCTGTTTCTTCCTGGTGTCACGTAGCTTGTTGGTTTCTCTGTCCCCCATATGTCCTCTATCAGCATCTGAGTCCCTTCAGGCTGCTTAAACAAAAATACCATAGATGGGGGTGTTTGTAACATCGGGAATTTATTTCTTACAGTTCTGGAAGCTGGGAAGTCCAAGATCAAGACACCAGCTTGGCTAGGTTCTGGCGAGAGCCTGCATCCTGGTTCATAGACAGCTGACTTTTACCTCATCCTCACATGGCAGAAGGGGTGAGGGAGCTCTCTGGGGTGTCTTAGAGGGGCACTAATCTCATCCCAAAGGCCTAATCACCTCCCAAAGGCCCCACCTCCGAATACCATCACACTGGGGCTTAGAAGTTCAACAAAGGGATTTTGAGAGGACACAAACTGAAAACGTTCAGTCTATAGCAAACAGTATAGCCTTTCTTAAGGTCAACATCTTGAAATATCACCAACTCCATCCAGCTTTCAGCAGAAATCTTTGGGCTCTGCAAAGTGTAGGTACAATAGGGAAGGTAAGGCTCTGGAAGAAACATGCTCTCAGCATGGCAGAGAGACCCAAGCACACAGCCAGGAAGGACCTATGTGCCCCAGGAAAGGTTCCAGCAGAGGGTGGGGGGCCATCCAGAAACCCCCAGCTGTGGGAACTGGCCCTTGGGACCTCAGTCGTGCTGGGCTGTCCCAACCCAACCAGGATTGGCCACCTGGTGGATGGCCTTCCTTCCTCCCTGGGACCTCCCCAGACCTCTACATGGCTCCAGGCCTTTTCCTTTAGGCCTCAGCTCAAAGAAGCCTTTCCTGAGCACCAGCTAAAATAGTGTCCCGCGACCCTGTCTAGCCACTGGGGGCCGTGTTTTTCTTCTCAGTACACATTACCATCCGACATATATTTACTGTTTATTTGGTTATCTAGCTCTCCTGCCAAGACCAAAAACTTCATTAGGACGGGGACCTTTGTGGCCTTGTGCACTGCTCTAACTCCAGTGCCTAGAACAGCTCTCATGTGCGGAAGGCACCTAATAAATCTTGAATGAATGAATGAATTGGGCTCTACAGCACACAGCCCTATTCCAGGCCCACAACTGACCTCAAGTTAACAGATCTTGTTTGAGGTTATCATCTTCCCAGAAACTTGTACGAAAATTTCGAAACTACACTTAACCGTAAGTAGATAAAAAAAAAAAAAAATCACACCAATCGTCAACAATAAAATCTCCCCTGCAAGTTGTCTGATCTCCCTACTCCCGTGTCTTTCCTCCCTGCTGCCAGAGTTTGGGCAACTCCTGAATCGCTCAACTCGGGGTGAGTCCAGGGCCTGTTGGTCATAAATACCATTTAGTCCCACTCAGCGAATAAAAGCGTGATGAATTATGGCGTTTGGCTTGGAGGACGATTCCTTCTGTTTCTCTGTCAAAGTTGAGTCTTCTCCTTCTTTTTCTTCTTTGCCCTCAAATGCTGAACAGGTGCTGTTTTTAACTCCTAGCCAAGGGTCGAGGCTTGGAGTAGGCACTCAGTGATCCAGGGGGCCTGGGGAGAGGGATTGGGGGGGCATGGGAGCCAGGGTGGAAGCCGAGGTGCCTCCCACTGATGAGTAAAGGAAGAGGGGCAGCTTTGTTTTGTTGAAGTAAAACCAACAAACAAGACGTGGAGGGTGTCTCATCTAAAGAGGGGCTTCCCAGGGCGCCTGGGTGGCTCAGTCGTTAAGCGTCTGCCTTCGGCTCAGGTCATGATCCCAGGGTCCTGGGATGGAGCCCCGCATCGGGCTCCCTACTTGGCAGGGAGCCTGCTTCTCCCTCTCCTTCTACTGCTCCCCCCTGCTGTGCTCTCTCACTCTGTCAAATAAATAAAATCTTTTGAAAAAAAAATTAAGAGGGGCTTCTCACCCTGGCCTTCAAGGGCTCCGCGAATCCCCTAAAACCCTGTGCAACATATTGTGACTACTCGTTTCTGAGCACCTTTCTGGGGAGATGGTCCAGAGCTTTCATCAGTTTCCCAGCAGAGTTTGTGACACGGCCCCAACCTCCACTTCCACCGAAAAAGGGAAAAAAAAAAAAAGGTAAGAAAAACACAGGAGGGCATCTGGCAGCTTTCTGGATGGTGAATCAACAAAGTTGTGTCAAACTCCCACCGCATGCCCCTCCCACCCAGGAGCGCAAGCTAACCGGGAGAGAAGGCCCCGAGCAAGGAGTGGGGTTGGGGCGTCAGGGCTCATTTCCTGCGGGTCTGCCATGCGCACAGCACAGGGCTCCCCTCTCTACAGCGGGCGCCCACCTAGCACGCGGTAAGGGCCAGGCACCGCTCAAAGTGCCCTCTGTGCGTTCGCTCACTTACTCTCCCAGCAGTCCTGGGAAATAGGTGCCACGCTTCTCATCTCACCTTACAGACCGTAAAACTGAGGCCCAGAAAGCTCAAGTAACTTGCCCAAGGCGCACAGCAGACTGGATTGAAACCTGGAGTTTAGAGTGCATGCGCCGTTGCTCAAGCTCTGATCTCCTCTGAGCCGCCCCACCACCCCCTTGAAGTATCTACGATGATGATCTCCATTCCACAGGTGAGAACACTGAGGTTGGGTAACTTGCCAGACGTCACCTTACGTTTTCCAGACCTCCTGCTGGGAGGGCCAAGAGCCAAAAAGAAAGTCAGAGAAATTCCAAGGGGCGAGAGGTCACTCTGGGCAGGGGTGACCGGGGGAAGATTGGGCACGGAACAATGGGACACTGGAAGGCCGTCCAGCTCGCTGAGGGTGCCTCCAGGACAGCTCCTGGGGGCCACCAGGCAGGGCTCCTCGCCCTGGCCCCATCGCTTTCCCTCCTTCCAGAGCCCCCAGCCTGGAAGAGATGACTTGTGAGGTGGGGCCCCAGGGTCAAGGTTAACACCCCCTCTCGCTCCTTCTTCCGCGCAGGGTCTTCCCAGGAGTGTCTTCCATGGGGAGAGAGAGATGCACAAGCCTCCCAGCCGGCCCCCCGCTTCAACCCTCCTCCTCCGGCCGCTGTCGCACTTCCGCTGACCGGGTACCTATTTACAGTTCTGCAGGAGAGACCTGGCTGAAGCCGGAGGGGCCCCCGGCAGACCTTTCTCAAATGTTCTGTGTGGTTTGCTAAGGATTCCCTTGCTCTAGATGTTCGGAGAAGAGCAGCAGTGAGACCTCAAGTCGCGAAGCTTGGGAGCTGCCCTCCGAGTCCCTCTGCATTCAAGACCCATCACATCCCTGCCCTTCCAACATTTGACCTTTATCTAGATTCTGTGAGACAAATACACATACAAAATAGTACACGTATTTATACATTCTATATGTATATATATCTTTTTTTTTTTTTTTTTTTTTTTGACAGAGACACAGCGAGAGCGGGATCACAAGCAGGGGGAGTGGGAGAGGGAGAAGCAGGCTTCCCGCCGAGCAGGGAGCCCGATGCGGGGCTCGATCCCAGGACCCCGGGATCATGACCTGAGCCGAAGGCAGACGCTTAACGACTGAGCCACCCAGGCGCCCCTGTACATATATCTTTAAGCTCCTTGCAGGGGCATTTTTGCCACTTGCAACCAGACTGTGTTCTATTCTTCTCTGAGCCATCTGGACATTTCGTAAGAGCCTCCCTTCTTACAGAGGAGGGTAGGGGTGGGCTGGGGAGCCCAAGAAGGCCTCTGGGTTAACGTGTTGGAAGCTGCTGCCACGCTTATAAATTAAGAACTAGTGTCTTTAAACTCCTTCAGTAAATCTATAGGAAAATGGATTTAAGTTGAAAATAGTGTCATTTCCACCCAGTCTTGGGAGCACGTGCGAAGCCTCAACGCTAAAGGCTCCCAGACTCTGTTCAGGAGCTCCCAGGCCGGTGGCAGCACCAGCCCTGCATGGGGCTCCCGGCCCCGCAGGGCCTGCCTGTGATGCAGGGGCAGGGGCAGGCCCGGCTTCGGCCTCAGCGGGAGGGACAGCGAGGAGCTGTCTCCTGTCCAGCTGGATTTTCCAGGCACGTCGGCACGTTCCTTCCTGTTCCTTCCCTCGTCCCCCGGCAAACACGTGACTGTAAACCAGGCACCCAGATGGTGAGGGGATTCCCACAGGGACCTCCCCTTTTGGAGGCCAGGAGGCCAGCCTCCTGCCTCATCCTCCTTCTCTCCCCCACTGCACAGCTCCCTGCGCAGCCTCAAGCCCTGTTCTCCGCCCGCCTGCGGACCCCATCGCCCCCTCACCCACTTGCACGGTCCAGGTGGCCAGTCAGAGCCCTGGACAGCGGGAAGGGACCTCAGAAACCATGCCCCTCGAGGCCAGGGGCTTTACACAGGAGAAACTGAGGCCAGAGAGGTGAAGGGAGCTGTCGAAGGCCACCTCGCTGTGAGGAACTGCCCCGGAGATAGGATCCCGGGGGCCGGACCCGTGGTCTGGGCTGCACGCCCTGGAAGCCTCCGTCTCGTCCTGTGGGCCAGGGGGCGAGCCCCGAGCTCCAGCCACAGGCAGCGGGGGAGGAGGAAGGGCTCGGGAGGCCCCGGGCCCCGCCGGCGGGGCGGTCCCCAGGGAAGCCTCAGCCGCCGGCCCCCTGCGCGCGCCGCGGTCCCGCCACGCCGGGCTCCGGCTCGCCCGCCCCGACCGCCCCCCTCGGCGGGCCCCTGCCCCCTTCCCCCGCCCCCCCCACGCCGCCGGCCCTCCGCCCGCTCGCGCGCTCCCGCTCGCCCGGGGCCCGAGCCCGTCCCGCCGCCCGGGGGCGCCGCTGCCTCCCCCGCCCCGCCCCGCCGCGCCGCGCTCCCGGGCCGGACCCCCGGGACTGTGGGACGCGCAGGCTCTCGGGCCCGCCCGGGGCCCCCACCCCCCCACCACACACCGGCATCCGAGTCTCGGCGGCGCGCCCCCGGCGCTCCGCAGGCCCGCGGGAGACCGTCACGTCGGCGGAAGTTTGCGAAGCGCGGCTCTGGAGCGCGGACACCGCCGCGCCCCTCGGTCTCCCGGGGACGCCGCTCCCGCCTTTGTTCCCTCCGTTAGCGGGCTGTTGGGCGCAGCCGCTCACGTCTGCGGCTGGGTGACTGCGGGGCCCGGGAGAAGTGTTCCTCCAGCGGCCCTGGCTTCTTTAATCAAAGTCGTCTTTCCTGGATGATGAGCAGGAGGGACTTGGAAATTGACACATATTCCCTCAAAGAATTGATCCACTGAGCATCTCCCTACATTGAACCCCAAACTGTTCACAGTGGAGCTGGAAGAGCACTCTGACTCTTGTCGTCCGTGGCCTCTGCGGAGTTCCTGGCTTGGCTCGTCTATCCAGCCTTCTGCTAGGGGACGGTGGGCCGCTGCTGTATGGGGGTCATTCACAGGCAGAACGAAAATCTATGCAAGAGGAGTTTGGATACATTCAAAGATGCTGATCTAAAAGCTCATTAAAGGTTATTCCCATTTCACAAGAAGAGACTACTTCACTAACCTAGAACAATGTGGAAGAATGAAAAAGAGATGGTTCATACTTCATCTTTTTTCCCAGAATGGTGTTTTCAATAAAATGTTAAACACCCATGACTCTGTAAGGTGTCCCAATCCCTGAGGCCCAAATCTTGGCTATTAACCTAGTGACAGAGAAGGGTAGCCTAGTAGCCATGATTTAGGGGGAATGTCTTCAACTGCGAGACATTTTACAACCATTTTACAACCAGCAAACTTTGAGCCACACTGCCCTTCACCCAAGGAATAACACCGATGATGGAATCCAGATCAGAGAGGAAGAGATTTGGGCACGGGTTGGCCACATCCCTCCAGTCCCATCTCCCAGGTGACCCTCCCAACTGCTTCTGAGCGTTTGAAAGGTCAGAGGGGTTAGGAATGAGAGGGGCCCCTAGAGAACTGGGCCTCTGGCTAGTCAGTGGGTGCACCTGGCTAGGTGAGCCAAGAGAGGGTTTGAGAGAGGAGGCGTTTGTTCAGAGCCAACTGTGATATGTCAAGAGCCTTGCAAATATCCTTTCTCTTTGTCCTAATGATTCCACTTCATGTATTTCTCTTATGGGGATCATCAGAAGCCGTAAATGAACCACAACAATATGAGAGTGGTTTAAACAGGAGGAGAACTACCACATGAAAGAACAATCTACAGCCATCAAAAATCCCATTTTCAAATGATTCCTAATGATCTGGGAGTTGCTCATGATATAAGGTTGAAAAGCACCATAAAAATAGTATTGTTGGAGCGCCTGGCTGGCTTAGTCAGTGGAGTGTGTGACTCTTAATCTCAGGGTTGTGGGTTTGAGCCCCATACTGGGTGTAGAAATTACTTGGAAATGAAATCTTTAAAAAAAAAATGGTATTGTACATTGTTCCGCTTTATCTGAAATACATATTGTCTAAAAATACATATATTATATGTATATATAGTTATATGTATATATAAATAAAACAAAGGACTAGAAGGAAATTCACCAAAATATTAACAAAGGTTTTCTCTGGGTGGTGGGATCACAGGTGATATTTGTTTTCTATTTCACTTTTTCTTTGTTTTCCATTTTTTTTCTAGAATGAGCACTTCTTACTTCAGAATTAGAAAAAATAATTTAAAGAGACTACAGTGTTCTAAGTATTGCACCAGACTCAAAGATGCATAAGATAACAAAAGCATATTTTCTGCCCTGGGGGACCTCATGGTCCAAGGAGACAAGAGGTATCCCCAAAAATACCAGTTCAAGGCAGGGTAGGATGAATCCTGAAGAGATGAGCACCATACAGTGGGAGCGCAGGGGAGGGAAAGAGAACAGCTACTGGAATTGAAGCTCCTTGGGGCCAGGCACATAGGAGGAGGTCAGCGCTCATGACACGGGACACAGAAACAGTGGCCTGAGAATTCAGTCCTGCTCCCTAATGCCCTGTGATTTTAGGCAAGCTATGCAGAACTAGTCTAACTTTCCTCATCTGTAAAATGGGATAACAAAAATGTTCCTATGAATAGTTCATAAGGGCAAGGGGATGAAGCATGGTGCCTAGCACAAAGTAAGCTCAATAAAAAGTAGATTTATGGTAAAAACTTTAGTCAAGTCTGGGTGGGAAGCACAAGGGATGTGGGGAACCGATGGGGGAGTGTGGGATTCTCAGGGAGGGGGGAGATGAAGCAGGGGGCTGAGTGCAGGCGGAGGGGTGCGTCTTCTGCGGTAGGGGAGGCTCAGTGCGAGGGGGTGGGGGGACTTTGGGGGACTCTCTCCTTCGTCCCAGAGCAAAGGAGCAAATGGGGGACACAGGGATGAAAAAGAGGGTGGGGACTCAGGCTGGAGCTTGAGCCTTCAGCTTTGACCCGCAAACATAGAGAAAGGGCACGGAGGGGTGTCCGCGGAGCAGCCCTGGCCTATACCCATAATCCACAGTGTGCTGTGGGCTGCTTTGTTGGCCCTCTCCGCGACCCTGAACATCAGCATTACTACTTCCATTTTACAGATGAAGACACTGAGGCTCAGGGTCGCATACCAGCACCAGGGAGACTGGGATCCATGCGTGGCTTCCACCCTCCCCTGGGGACAGTAGCACCTGGAAGACCAGCGGCCCTCTGCGAGGCCTCAGCCACACCCCCTGGTGTGGCAGCGAGCCAGCCTGGGGCTTTCCAGGGAATTTCCTGAGTGCATCACCAGAAAGACCCTTTCCTCCCATCCTGTCCACCAGGTGGGACCTGAACAGCCCGCGCCAGGGTGGAGCAGAGGGAGGCGAGGGGCAGATCCTGTGGGTTTTAACAGAATCCAAGTAAGTTTGCTTTGACAACATCCTAAACCCTGAGAGGACCAGACCGTCCTGGAGGCAGCCCTCCCACCACCCATGGGACCCCCTCCCACCCTCAAGGCTGCACACTGAGCCAGGGGATGGTTCCCTCCTGGACGACCTGATTCCTTGGGCCTGCACTCCTCTCTCATGCTGACAACTGAAAGGAGATCAAATGCCTCAGAAAAGACTTTCATTCGAAACCTCAAGGCCCCAGAGAGGGCAAGATCGCTGTGCATCTGAAGCGGGGTGCCCTAGAGAAGCAAACATGTTCCATAGAAACCCAACTTTATACTCCCCCCACACACCCCCCTACACACATACCCCGGCTTAGAGCTCAGGCTGTCTTCAGGGGAAAGCCTTATTGCCTGAGCGAGCATTTTTAATTTTTTCCAATCCACCTGGCAGAAAGCCTGACCACAGCATCTGCCTCACCCTTTCTCCTGAAACGCTGGCCTCCTTGATGGGATTTATAGAATTTAGGAGGGGGTGCTGTGTTGTTTCCCAGTTCTGCTGCCCATTTTTCACAAGAGAAAACTGGGTGTCAAAGAAAGGAGAATAGATTCTGCAATAAAAGCATTTGGACCCAGACAGGGAGAAATCTAATTTATAACAGGGTTCTCAACCATAGCTGCAAATTAGAAGCACGAGGACACTTTAAAACATACTGATAGCCAGGCTCCAGCAAATATTTACTCTGGGATGAGACCTTTTCCCTTCTTCTCTTCCTCCCTCCCTTTCTTCCTTCCATCCTCCCTCTCTTCCTTTCTTTAAGAAGTCTTCCAGGTGATTCTCATATGCCAGGGTAGAGAGCTACTCACCTAAATAAGACAACTGCATTAAAAAGAAGATGACCCAATAGAAAAATGGACCCAGGATGTGAATGGGTAAGTCAGAGAAGAAATAAAAATGGCTAATAGGCACATGAAAAACTGTTGACCCCAATTAATAATTAAGGAAATGCTAAATAAAACAATAATGAGGTAACATTTCATGTATCAAATTGTCAACCTTTTTTTTTTTAATGGAAGAATATTCCTAGGAATGGCACCAGTGTCTTGTGAGTGTGTGTGTGTGTGTGTGGAGGGGGGGTGGGGGGCATTCAAGTACTGTTTATGAGGACAGAGGGCACTTGGCAGTAACACCTTTTGACCCATCAATTTCACTTCAAGATTCTAGATAAGGATGTCATGAGATTTTAACTAGAGTTGTTAATCATAGCAAGAACAAAAAATCAGAAATTCCTAAATATTTAACATTAGGAAATTAGTTCAATGAATTACAGTGTAGCCATAGACTAGAATGCCACACAGCCACTGAATATGATATAGTAGATGAATACATATGGCCTTGCTTGGGAAAATGTTCAGATAAATTACTGAGTGCAAAACGTTTCCAAGTAATAATGGTAACAATTTTGCTTTGTCAGAAAAATAAAGAGTATGAAAAAGTGTGTGTGTGTGTGTGTGTCTACACTTAGGAACTTCACAAAAATATATGTTAAGGTTTCAGCAGCCTTCATCTCTAATACCAAAGTGAGCATTTTACATTTTTATTTTTGCTTCTCTGTATTTTCTAGTTTTGCCCTACAAAGGGCATACTTGTTTTTGTCAAAAGGAAAAAAAAAAATATTTTTAATTTTAAAACTTACTTCCCAGGGCAAAAGTTGCTAATCTGTTTTCTTCCGGGAGGGGCAGGGTCAACATCTTGGAACCATGAAATCTCCAGATAATCCCCTGACCACTCATCTTCCTCTAAAATCTCATCTTTAACCAAGGAGCCAAAAGAGAGGCTCAACTTGGATTTTTCCTCTCCTTCCAGGCCTTTCCCACATTGTTGAGCTGTGGGAACTGGCTAGGGAGTTGGCACTGGAGAAGAAGAGGATCCAGAGGTCTGAGGAATTCCCATCAGCGTGGAGAAGAACCCAGGGTTTGAAGTCCTGGATCCACCTCTATTTAGCTACGTGACCTTGGGTGAAACAACCTCTCTAAGCCTCAGTGTGCACAACTAAAAAGTGGGAGTAATAGGAGTGCTGAGCTCATTGGTGATTACAAGGCTTTCAATGTAAAGGGTTTAGCACATCGCCTGGCACAAAGCACTCAATAAACGGCACTTCTGATCATTTCTGATTTGGGAAGCCAGACTCTTTCCTGCCACACAGGGAGCCTCTGACAGTCCCGACATTCACTGAAGCCCTTCCGACCATTATGGGAAGGAAACTGGAGGAGAAGCCAAACCTGACCCACAGACTCCAGAAGGGCCTTCTAGACTCTGGGCTGGACCTATTACCTAGGAGACCGCCCATGGTGAGAGCTCTTTTTTTTTTTTTTTTAAGATTTTAT